TAGGTGCTGATCAATGGTTGGTGAAGTTGCTGAGATTGTTAGGGGCAAAAGAATTTTACATTCAAAGCTCAACTTCAGGCAGCTATTTTTAGGTAAATTATTCTGGCTGACAAGCTGTGAAGATAAAAGATTCTGCAGGCCCCACCTTAGCTGCTGTAAACTGTCTGCCTCAGTCTGCATTCCTCTATTGCTGCAGAGATACGCTTTCAGTAAGGATCCTGACTTGGGAACCTAATGAAGATGGTTCTGTTCTTTTTAGCATTTTCTTAATTATCTCACTGATGAGCTTTCGGAACTGTCAGACTTCTTTAAGATCATTCTCCTTTCAGTTAGCCTCTTTCAAAACTATACCACTAATCTCCCATGTGGTAGTTTGTATGTATGTTGCTGTAGGTTGCATTCAAACTCTCTCATATTGAGATCTGCTAACAGACATTTTGGTGCATGCATGAACTCATTTAGAGCAAATCTGACAGTGCAGATGAAACAACTCTCAGTGTCCACATTAAAGTATTCTGCTGTGGCAATGCAAAGCCTGCAGCAGCAGTTGTTCACACTATGCTGTGAGGTACTGAAGGTTCTTCAAGACACACTTCAACAGTCTGATTTCAACCCTGTTCTAGCTTAGGAACTCTTACATGCAAAAAAAACCAACAAAAAAACCATACACACACACAAAACCAACAACAAAAAAACCCCATAAAACAAAAAACCGCTCTAGCTCTTCTAATGACTAAATAGTCATTCTGTAATGGCATGATTTGATAGCTTGTATGAGAAGATTCTACAAAAAATGTCACCTTTCTTGCTCCTGACTCCTAAATGTGGTTATCATCTAGTTAACCCATGCAAACAGTTGTTTTTTTAAAAAAACAACAGCCAACAAAACGACAGGCAGAGGCTATGGACAGTGCAGCTTATTTGATCAAATAATGCTTTTTAATAAACATTTCTTAAGTAGCAGTTACTGATTATCAGCTCCTTAACTCTGGAATTACATTTCCATGATCTTGTTTATAAATTTCCATAAACACCTTTGTTTCTGGCCCACAAACCTAGAAAGTGGCTATAAATCATTATGTTCCTATCTATACATTTGCTTTTTCTTCTTAAAGTAGTTTTGACTACCTTAACTGAGAAATGCACAAGTTTAATTTTAATTAGTATTAGCATTGGCCCTGCTCACTCCTGGTTTGTCAGCTTGTGATTCAGCATTGCAAAGATCTCAATAATTTGAAAAGCATTTAATCTCAGCATATGTAACCATCATTTGGTGCCAGGGCATCAGATAGACTTTGCATTGCTCTGTCAGTTTATGATACAAGCTTTTTACTAGAACATAACTGTGTGCTGTTGCTTCTTTCAAGTGATTTACCACGACCATTTCAAATTCTAAAGTTATCTAAAGCAGCAGAATTATACTCTAGTCTAATCGCTCAGCACATTCATTCTGGAAGTCAAAGCTACTTTGAATTTCTGGAGGACATGTCACTGTATTCAGTTGGTATTTTACTTTTAAAACTCATATTGCATCCTAAAAAAATTAGAGGTGTTTCTGGAAATTGGTAATAAATATTTACTCCAACAGTATAATTATTAGATAACAATTCAAGCTGAGCACAAAATCAAATCTGCTAAATTCAGTGCAGGCAGAAAATAACAAGCAAAACTGACATGATCTCAAATCATGATAATTTAAATAGGAAAAAAACAGGGCACACTGAGGTGACAACCACCACCTTATAACTTTGCTACTGGACAGTGCTAAAACTTCCTTTAATGGACTACATAATAAAATAAAAAGTAAGCTATGAGCAATTGAACACAGCTTTCTGGCACAGAATAGTTAATTCAGACTTAACTACAGCACCATCTATGGGAAGTAACGTGCACACATGCAAACACAGGATGTGTATCTGGAGATCCTGGGGACTCTTGCCTGTTACGCTGCTGATGTACTCACTGTAATTAGCGAGGTATTACAGTAGTGAAAACCTTAATCACAGGTCACCCCTTCTCTCTCCTTCATACCTGAATAACCTAAAAAATGTTGTGAGAATAAATGAACAAATCACCCAGGAGTGTCCCTGTACGATTAACTTCTGACTGTATCTTGCTGTGTTTCATCAAAAAATTGAGATACCTCAATAAAACAACTGTAACGAACCCAAGGAAAAGTCTGTCAGCTTAAAAAAATATGCAGCATCAGCCTCACCTGACATGAACTTGCATTCCTTCTTGGTGAGGACTGGAGCTACAAAAAGTGTGTAGAACAATTTTACTAGTTCTCGTCATCCTTTTAATTACTTTACCATGACATAGTTTGCTTACTTGAAGATAAATTTGTGACAGCACATCGGCAGAAGAGCCTTGGGAAGATTCCTGTTGCCACTTTGTCCCTCCCCACAGTTCCCAGTTCTCTGCCAGGCTGCTGCCTGGCCATCGTTAAGCTCCAGAAGCAATGGGCAGGATTGCCAAAGGAGGCCAAGCTCCTAACTGCTACAGCACTTATCACAGGGAAACTGGAAATAATCACACACTGGCTAGAACTTTGCTTCCATCTAGCGTTTTGAAAGCTGTGAGCTGGCAAAGAACTGCACAGGGACAGAACATGGGAAAGCACCACAAAGCTGGTGACTGCAGAGTAAACTTTGCTGGCTAGAATTTCCAGTTCTTCTATTTAAAGTGCTAATTTGTAAAGACAAGAGCACAATTGGGGATGGGGAAGCTTCAAACACACATTGCAGCTTTTAAAAAGTGTGCAAGTCAAAACTCTCAAGTGATCATACGAACAGAAGCTGACAAAAAACAGCCAACGCACTTTGCTTAAGCTTTGGACAGCCCTTACAGTGATTAATTTAAAGGTGATTATTTCTGGAGAAGCTTTACATTTTTATTTTTCTTATTATTTGTAATATTTCTTTGATTAGAAGCTGTAGATAATGGAAATCTATTCCCAGGACCAAGGATTAGTGACAAGAGTTCACTGCTTAAATGGAAGAAAAAAAAAATCCACATGCACAACTGACATCCAAAATGGCTCAACATAATTTATTTTTTTATGTTAAAATGTACAGAGTTCTTTTGAAAGTACTTGCTAGAAAGGGGAAAAAAAAGTGATATTACATACAAGGAGAGGAAGGGAGACCATCCAGCCAGGAGCGTATGACATGGAGAATTACAAAGGCATCTAGGCACCCCTTCCCCTTAGCTTACAAGTCACCATGAACAAAGTACAAAGAGGTTACAAAACAGGAAAAGCAAATATAAACAGACAGGAATAGACTCAGCTTCATTTGTACATGCGGCTTTTAGAGGCATCTGGAGCTCCTATTCACACACTCTAGAGATCTCTTTAAAGAGAATTTTTATCTTTCTTAAAATAGTTTTTAATATTCTACAACAAAGATAAAAAATTTTAAAGATGGAATGAAATGAAAAAGCTCTTATCTTTAAAAGGCATCAAAGTCACTAACAGTGAGAATTTTTTTTAATTTCTTTTAGAAGATTACCCAAGTTATCTTGCTAAAAATACATATTTATTTTTTTTTTTTAAACAGAAGTGAAAAAATGGTAGGTACCAATATTACTGCGCTGGATAATTTCTTTTTATATATAGAAAAGAACAATTTTTTTTCTACAATAGTTCTACAGTCACAAAGGCTTGTGGAAAAGGGAGCTGCCCAATTGATAAAAAAAACCATACAAAACCAAACCAAACATAACGGCAAACAAACTAAATTCACAGCCCTCATTTCAACAGCTTCTCCTCCTGTCTCAGACCCCTACCCACCCCCCGGCCCTGGACCAGATGATCCTTGAGGTCCCTTCCAACCTGGGATTCTAGGAAGGAGCTGCTCTGTATGAACATCAACCCACCAGCAGTGATAAAAGCAAGCACAGAGTTAGGAAAGCATTTCATTAGGAAGCCAAGCAAGAAGCCCCCCGGCCCCCCCCCTCCCCGCACCCAGCAACCAGGAAGCAGTGACACAGCTGAAGATCTAGGAAGGAGAGGGCAGCACAGTGCGCTTTCTACATGGGTTATTTGGAACTGGAATAGTATATACAGAAATGGGGTCCTACACAGCCTTGTACATGCTCAAAACTGAACAGAAATAAAAGTGGAAGTCCTTTGAATTCTGCCTTTTATGGTTAGCAGTTATTGGAGGAAAGTCCATTTTAGTGCATCTGAAGAAACCCCAACTTTCTTTTAGACTCTTTTGGTTTAAAAACAAAAGAAATCAGTCTTATTAATGTCTGTATTTCTACTTCACATACAATAAAAAAAAGAACTTTACATTAAAGGATGTCCCTTTTTGTATTGGGTGACATGCCAGCAGTGTAGCCAAAAAGAATGTAAATTGGATTATGCAGCAAGAAACAGCAAAATCCTGCCGCCTGAATCCTACTGTGGTCTTTGGTCTGTTTCACTCCTGTAAAACAGGCCGATTCCCTTCTTTTCCCACACTAGATCAAAAGTGTGGCTATTTCTATAAAATGGGTCTCAAACATAGTGAGAAGATCAGGGAAAACATCACCGAGTCTCCGAGAGAGCGGCACATTCAGCAACTTCCTAACCTGTGACAAGGACAGCACAGGGTTCTCATCAAGTCACTGAAAACATACACTTCATCTTCCAAAATCACCTAAGTAAAGAGATTAAGAGGCAGACCATTGGAAACACCTGCTTTTGAGCTCAGCCTGACCCAAAGGCTCAGAACCAAGACTGCCAGCATTCCAAAGTACATACTAAAGCAGAGTTTGGGATCTCAGAGTTGTGGCTGAGTTGCAGTTCAACAGAAGAGCCTACGACCATTTTCTTCTCCTAACCAACCACTAACCACCCCGTTCTCCTCGTGACTGCGTAGGGGATACAAACAGTTCTCTCTTGAGATGCTTCAGAGTTCAGAGTGACAGAACATGTGCATGCATGCACATGGGTGTGCACATGCATGTCTGGGTGGTGAATGGGATCATTTCAAAGTTACATTATATTTTCAGCATAAAACATACAATTTCAATTAACTCATCTACAAAAACACCAATGTGAATAGTTTATTGTTTACACGTAACTCCAATTTTACTGAGGGCGAGGGTGTCAGGGAAGATTAAAGATTAAAAATTTGTCCTGACTCGCAGAAATAAAGAGCTTCATTTATCCTCTGTGTCCCCTTCCAAAGTCCCGCAATAAGTGCCTCCTGCTAGAAGTAGGAAATACCAGGTGGGGTTTAGAGAGAAGGGTTGTTACTCTTTGAGATGTCAAACATTTTACATGACTGCAGCAGTAGAAACCGCATAGAGGGGCACAAGGGAGAAGGACATACATTTGAAAAAAAAAAAAATTTAGAAAGATTATTTCACTGGTACACATACTCTGTCCACATTGTCAGCAAAGTAAGGCTCTTTTTAAATTATGAAAAGATTTTGTGCATGTTTTCCCCTCTAAAAAACATCTGTAAATGATTTTAGCTGTAAATTGTTTCAGGATTGTGAAGAAAATAAAAACACAAAACAAAAATCCAAAAAATAAAGACCAGGCTTCCTAAAAAATAAAATAAACCAAAGAAAATCCCTCTAAATCTACAGCAATATTTTAACTGGAAAAAGGTCCATTTTCTCTGGTTCGTCAGTATAAAAGGTTCCTTTATTTATATATATTTCAGTTTTTAGGATGCAAGTTCATCTTGCTCATCTTCTCATGTATGGTCCATTGAGAGACTGCTTGGGTACCCCAGCAGCATTCATGTAGCTGTGATGGGAGGGGCCAGTATACATCATGTTTCCATGAGGATTTGGCTGCATAGGCTGCTGGGTATAGGCCTGGCTTCCCATCATTCCCATCTGCATCTGCATAGGATACTGTGCTGTCTGGTTCATGTAGGCAGGGTTACTATGGTAACTGCTGTTCATCATGGGCTGTGTCATCCTGTAGCTGTTCATGGCATTCAGGGTGTTCATATTCATGGAGTTAACGTTGTAGGGCGTGGTTGGCATTAGGTTGACTCCCATGTTCATGCCCCGTTGAACAGCCAAGGTGCGAGGACCAGCCTGCATGGCGACTGCAGGCGGGCTGCGACCGTAGAGCTGCTGCTGGTGTGCGGGTGCAGAGGGCAGCGGGGCGGACTTGGAGCGAATGGAGATGTGCCCCTTGACTGGCATCTGCCCCTGCAGCCTCTGTGTGTGTGGGATGCCAATGTTGGTGGCAGGCATGTTGCACTGGAGCAGAGGCGATGTGAGGTTCATGGTGGTGGACGCCAGGTTTGGTGGGGGTGTCATAGTGGCTTTTTGTTTTGGTGTTCCTGCCCACGGGGGGGGGGGG